CGGAGGAAGCAGCAGCGGCGCAGCAAGCCGCAGCAGCAGCAGCAGCAGCAGCAGCAGAGGCGCGCGAAGAGGAGCAGCAGCTGTACCCGGGCCTGGGGGAAGCAGCAGCAGCAGCAGCAGCAGCCGCGTCGGACAGCCTGTCTTCAGGTGTATATACAGCTGACGGAGTGCTGCCGCTGGGGCCCCAGGAGCAGCAAGCTTACATTGAGCAGCTAGCAGGAATATTAGCAGCAGCAGAACCTGTCTTGAGTTTTGCTGACAGCAGCGCGGAGGAGACCAACTGCGAGCCTGGCGAGCCCGCGCTGCTGCAGCAGGAGCTGCTGCAGCAGGACGCCCCGCAGCAGCAGCAGCAGCAGCAGCGGCGCCGCGGCGACCCGCGCTGGGGGCACCTCGACAAGGCCGCCCTGCAGCAGCAGCAGCAGCAGCAAAGCTGGTCTTCTGCTGCTGCGGAGGGACAAGAAACGGACTGAGCTGCAGCAACGCAGCCAACACGGAGGGACACGGACACGGAGACACAGGCAGCAGCAGCAGCAGCTGCAGCAGCAGCAGCAGCAGCAGCGAGGCCGTTCGCAGCCAAAAGGGAGAAGCAGCAACAGACACAAACGCAAAGAGGCCGACTCAGTGGGCGGGCGGAGTAGCGCCTTCCCGGCAGCACAGAAGTCTCAGCAGCAGCTGCAGCAGCAGCTGCTGCTGCAGCAGCAGCCGCAGCAGCAGGACGGCGGCGGCAGCAGTGCAAGTGGAAATGACGCCGGCAGCAAAAGCTGCTGCAACGGCAGCAACTGCAGCAGCAGCAGCAGCAGAGTTTCAAGCAGGTCAGCAGCTGAAGTGGGTTTCAATGAGGAGAAGCCATTTCGCTGCAGCTGTAGCAGCAGCGCTGCTGCTGCTGCTGCTGCTGCTGCAGGACTGTAGGAGCGACGTAGGAGTTTATATATGTGGCGTTGAGGACCTTTTGCTTCGCAGGAGAAGCGTTTGAGGTGTACGTACACCTCGGGGCTGCGAAGGCGGTCCCGTTTGCTGCTGCTGCTGCTGCTGCCGCTGCTGCTGGAGTTGTTTAAAAAAGCAAGACGGGACTTGAGGGTGTTTATATGTTTTATTTGTGTTTGACAAATGCTGAGCAAAAAGGGATGGGCGTGGGCGATGTGTACGTACACCTGGAGAGGCAGGTGCTGCGGGCGGCCGAGCGCTGCTGCTGCTGCTGCTGCTGCTGCTGCTGCAGCTGCAGTTGGCACTTGCCTTGTGTTTCGTTTGTCTCTTTTCATCTTTAGCAGCTTCTTTTTATTTCTTTATTCTTTCCTGTCTGATCTCCTTTGCCCCGCGCTGAGGTGTACGTACACCGCAGCCCTTTGGGGTGTACGTACAGCTCATTTTGGCCCATCAAGGGGCCCTCAGCTCCACCCAAATGAAGCATTTCTGTCCTTGGAAATTAGACACACAGCTCGCCCTTTCTTTGCTGCTGCTGCACCAGCTGCAGCAGCAGACGCAGCAGCAGCAGCAGCAGCGGCAGCAGCAGCAGCAGCAGCGGCAGCAGCAGCTGCAGCAGCGGCTGCAGCAGCGGCTGCAACAGCAGCTGCAGCAGCAGCTGCAGCAGCAGCTGCAGCAGCAGCTGCAACAGCAGCAGCAGCAAAAGCATCTCGGCAGCTGCAGCTGCAGCAGAAACAGCTGCACTAGCAGCAGCAGCTGCTGCTGCAGCAGAAACAGCTGCACTAGCAGCAGCAGTTGCTGCTACAGCAGAAGCAGCTGCAGCAGCAGCGGCTGCAGCGACGAGGCAGCTGCGTGCTTTGGAACTTGTGTCTCACTAGCAGCAGCTGGGATCGGGTGCTGTGGGGTCTGGGATCGGGCGTTGTGGGGACTGGGATCGGTTTGTGGGGTGTGGGATCGAGTTTGTGGGGTGTGGGATCGGGTTTGTGGGGTGTGGGATCGTGTGGAGCCTCTTGCTGTACCTCAGCGGCTCTGCTGCAGATGTGCAAGAAGATGCATGCAAAGATGAGGGGCCGCGCAGTGGGGTGTACGTACACCCCGGAGTAGCTCAGCAGCAGCAGCTGCTGCAGCAGCAGCAGCAGCAGCAGCAGGTGTGGAGGGCTTGTTGCAGCTCTTCTTTTCAAATATGTAATTGAGAAACAGACCGAACTAGTGTTTGTAATAACTCTTGCCGTTGCAGCTCTTGAGAAGAAGCAGAAGCGAATCTGTGGGGCCCCACAGCATTTGGGGTGTACGTACACCTGAAGCCCTAGTTAGGCCGGAGTCGCTGCAGCGCCAAGTTGGGGAAAAAGCTGCTAAAAGTGGTCGAATTTAGCGCAAAAGAAGCGCAATTAAACCTTTAATAATGCAAATAATAAAAAGATAGTTATATTTGATTAAATTACACAAAATGAAACAGGAAAAGGGCTTTTCTTCAAGGACGCTCGAGACAGCTCCGGCTGGCAGGCAGCTGCAGCAGCTCGACGCCCTTCTGGGGAACACTGGAGTTAAATTAAATGAAAAATCATTTTAAATAAATTAAAATTAATTTTAATTCATCAAACAATTGTTTTTACTAATTTAAAAGGGCAAAAGAAGCAGCGGCGCGCACACCGAGGAGCGCCCAGTAGCTGCTGCTGCTGCTGCTGCTGCTGCTGCAGGGGTTCGAGTGGCAGCAGATAAACTCCGTTTTGGCCTAAAATAAGTTTTCAAATGAGCGCAAAGGGCGAAACTAAAGAAAACTGGATAAATTAAATGCAAAAAGGAGAAAAAATTGGCGGAAATTGTTGCAGCAGCTTCCCCCTCCCTCTCGACGCCGTCGCGGTGGCTGGGGCTGAGCTGCGGCGCTCGCCGGGGCGTCCGCTTTTGAATTTCTTTCTTTTTACCCCGACGGCTTTTTGTTATTTCCTAATTAATGACAAATAAGGGAATTTTTTTGCTTTGGCGCCTTCGAATTGCGTCGCTGCAGCGGCAGGCGGCGGGCCCCGAGCGAGACGGCTGTGGGTCTGAGGCTTGCTGCTAGTTGCGGGCTTTTGGCGGTTTTTCCTTCTCGAAATTAATTAAAAGTTGAATTAATTCTCTTTTATTTCTAAACATTTCATTAATCGAGTTTAAACGGCTTTAATCGGGTTTCTGAACTCAGTCCGTGCGGCGCGCGGCGCTCCTCCCGAGCTGTCTGTACACCTCGAGCCGCCTTCCGTCTCCCTCTCCGTTTCCCGCCCTCTCCATTAAATCACTTTTGATCTAAAAAGAACAAAAGGCATTTTTATTTCGGATTTCGCGCGTTTTGGCCCACGGCTTGCTGCGGCTTGGGGTGTACGTACACCGCAGCCACCGCGCATCACTCGACCCTCCGGGAGCGGAAAGCAGAAAAACAAAATCAGAAAATAAGAACCAAAAACGAATTCTTCTTTTTCCAAATCTCCTTTCAGATCATGAGGACTCCGGCGCTGAGAGTTGGCGGCGTCGTCGCGGCGCTGTGCGCGTTCTCGCTGCTGCTGCCCGCAGCAGCAGCAGCGGCAGCAGCAGCAGCAGCAGCGGACGAGCAGCTGCTGGAGACGTCGCCGGCGGCGCCGGGGCCGCGGGCGGCAGCAGCGAGCCGCACAGCAGCAGCAGCAGCAGCAGCAGCAGCAGCAGCAGCAGCAGAGGCGCCGGTGCTGCTGGCGGGGGGCCGGGACCAGGTGTCTGTACACCTGGAGGGCGAGGCCGCAGACGCGGACTTCCAAAAAGTCGCCGAAGAATTAATCAAAAGAATCTTTCCGAGTTCGGGCCCCACAGGCGTGTGGGGTTTGCGGGGTGTACGTACAGCAGCAGCAGGGCTGCTGGGGCTGGCTGTGCTGCTGCTGCTGCACTGCTTCGTTGCTGCGGGGCCGCTGCTGCTGCACTCCGGGGAGGAGGGCAGCAGCTTGAGCCTCAAGGGCGCGGGCTTGGTGGTCTCCTTGGTGCTGCTGCTGAGCGGCGCAGCAGAAGCTGCTGCTGCTGCTGCCAGGGGAGCAGCAGCAGCAGACGGCCCCCAGCTGCTGCAGCTGCCCGGACTCTTGACGCGGGGCCGCCGCCGCGCTGCAGCAGGAACGGGGCTGCTGCTGCTGTCCTCCTTGCTGCTGCTGCTGGGCTGGCTCGCGGGGCTGCCTGCTGCAGCAGCAGCAGCAGCGCAGGTCGGCCTCGTGGCCGGGGCCACGCTTGCTGCGCTCGGGCTGCTGCTGCTGCTGCATGCAGCCGTCAGCACTTTCAAACTTTCCAAAAAGCTGTTTGAGCTGCCGCAGCAGCAGCAGCAGCACCTGCCGCAGCAAGCAGCAGCAGTGGACGCGCAGCTGCTCAGCCAGCTGCTGGAGCACTTCTCCGAGGAGGAGCCCGCGGAGGCCGCAGCAGCAGCAGCAGACGCAGCAGCAGCAGCAGCAGCAGCCAAGCAAACCGTGCAGCACGCGCTGCGCCTCCTAGCAGCAGGAGCAGCACTCAGCAGCGAGCAGCAAACTGGACTTGCCGAAGCAATTACGAAGCAGCTGCTGGAAGCAGAAGACGGACTCCCGCTGCTGCTCGACAGCGAGAACGTGCAGCCCCTCACTGAGCAGCTGCAGCAGCAGCAGCAGCAGCAGCAGCAGAAGGCGGGGGCCGAGGGGGGACGGGGACGGGAGGGAGGCGCGCGAGCTCGGCCATAACGGCAGCAGCAGAGGTAGCAGCAGCAGCAGCGGCAGCAGCAGCGAGGGGTTGGATTGTGTCTATGTGGCGGGAACAGCAGACAGCAGATCAGTGGTAGGGCAGCGGCAGCAGCAGCTGCTGCTGCTGCAGCAGCTGCTAGACAACTGCACGAGGCAGCAACAGCAGGAGGAGGATGTCACAGCAGCAGCCGTAAAGGCACACTGCAGCAGCAGCAAAGAGTGCTGCTGCAGCAAGGGGAAACTCAGTAACAGCAGTAACAGCAGTAACAGCAGCAGCAGCAACAGCAGCAGCAGCAGCAAAATGCAACATTGATTATGTTTCACGGGAATAAAGAACTTCAGGAGAGTGGCTGCAGCGCCGTGTGGCTGCAGCAGCAGCCGCTGCTGCTGCAGCAGCAGCTGCTGCAGCCGCTGCTGCTGCAGCAAGTAGTTGCGGCCCTTGAGCTGCTCTTTGCACGTGGACTGTTTGCTCAAAACTGTTTGTTCCGGTTGTGCTTTGTATAGTTTTTCCTTGCTGCTGCAGCAGCTGCTGCAGCGGCAGCAGCAGCAGCTGCAGCAGCCGCGGCAGCCGAAGCTGCAGCTGCAGCAGCTACAGCAGCAGCTCAGCAGCAGCAAGGAGGACAGCGCGGAGGAGCAGCAGGAAGGAGCAGCAGGAAGGAGCAGCAGCAGCAAAGAGCAGCAGCACGCAATGAAGACCCTGAGCAGCTCGTGGAGCTGCAGCAGGAAGCTCAGGTGTACGTACACCTCAGGGCGGCAGCAGACGCAGCTGAGGTGTACGTACACCGCAGCTGCAGCGCCGCGCAGGTGTGGGGCCCTTTTGGCCTCAGGGAAAAACTAATGAGGACTTTAAGATGTGTCTTGCTTCCCTCCAGCGCCCTAGGGTTTAGGGTTTAGGGTTTAGTTTCTAGGGTTTAGGGTTTAGGGTTTAGGGCTTAGCCGCTAGGGCTTAGGGTGTGGGGCTTGAGGCTTCCAAGATGCGTCTTTTGCTTCTCGAGGTGTACGTACACCTCAAACCACTTCGAATTCTTCTTGGAACTCCTGCAGCCCATGAGCAGCGACAGATCGAGGGTTTAGGGATTAGGGTTTGGGGGTTAAGGTTTAGGGGTTAGGGTTTAGGGTTTAGGGTTTAGGGTTTAGGGTTTACCTGCATAAAGTGCACCAGCTCCTCCACTTGCTCCATAGACACCCCAGAGTAGAGGCAGGCTCTAAGACCGCCGAGGGAGCGGTGTCCATTCTACAGCAGCCACAACCGAGGGTTTAGGGTTTAGGGTTTAGGGTTTGGCAGGCAGCTGTGAGGGTTCGCGCTGGGCTTCTAGCTGCTGGTCTGCGGTTAAGGCATAGCTGGTGAAGATTGCCGGCGTCGAGGGTTTATTAGGGCTTAGGGTCTAGGGTTTAGGGTTTCGGATTAGGGTTTCAGATTAGGGTTTAGTATTAGGGTTAAGGGTTTAGCAGAGGGTGGAGGGTTTGGATCGTGCTGGCTTTGCGGGGAGGCCCCGCTGGGGTTTGGAGGGTTTAGGGTTTAGGGTTTGTTGTGCCTCCAAACTGTCGCCAAAATCCACTAAGTGCTGCATCCTTAGGGTTTAGGGTTTAGGGTTTTCTGCATGTTGCGTCCTTGAAGGCTACTACGCAGGAGTGAAGATTAGGGTTTAGGGTTTAGCGTAAGAGTGAAGATTAAGGGTAAGGAGAAGAGTGAAGATTAGGGTATACGGTTTGTTTTAAGAGCGGAGCTTAAGGTTTAGGGTTTAGGGTTTAGGGTGGCAGACCATGTTGCGTCCTTCTGCCCTTTTCAAAAAGAAGACTTTTGTGAGTTCTTCATCTTTCAATTTGGCCTGTTGAAGAACTAGGGTTTAGGGTTTAGGGATTAGGGTTTAGGGTTTAGGGTTTGTGTGTACTAGGCAGATCATGTTGCGTCCTTCTGCCCTTTTCAAAAAGACTTTTGTGAGTTCTTCATCTTTCAATTTGGCCTCCTGAAGAACTCGAGAGTTTTCTTTTTCTTTTTCGGGTGTACAGACAGCTGCGTCGGGCTGGCTGCTCTCGGAGGGCTCGCGTTTGCTGCAGTCTGCTGCTGCTGCTGCTGCTGCTGCTGCATGCGGCTGCAGCAGAAAGCGCACAGCGACGCGGGAACGGAACTGAGGCTTGACAGGGGCGAGGAAGAAGCCGCTGCTGCAGTCGCAGTGTCTGTACACCGCAGCACTCTTGCTGCAGCAAACGCCATCCCAGTAATTCAAGTCGCCTGCTGCTGCCAAATGCTGCAAAACCTTTCCCAAAATGTAAATATTTAAAGCTGGAGGAGTATTTAAGCAGCTGTCTGCTGCCAGAGTCTTCTGGTAGTTCAGAACTGAGGGGCAGAGGGCCCCCTGGCGCGCTGCAGCACAGGTGCAGCGCGCGGAATTCAAGAACCATTTCTTGAAAAATAAATCAATTCAGATTTATTCAATTTGCTTTTTTCATTGTTTTCTCTTTTTTATTTCATTTTGCTTCTTTTTTTAACAGCTTTCCCGCAGTTTCAACCAGGCTGAAGCCCAGTTCTAGAAAATTCAAAATGCGGTTTTCAGGTGTTTCCAATTGCTTTTGATTTCATTTCAGAATTATTTCAAAAGAGTTTTGCTGCACTTTCAATTCAATTTATTATTTATGTTTATTTATTTATTTATTCATTGATTGATTTATTTATTTATATTCAATTCTTTTTACGAAAAATTCAAAAAGAATATTTCAGAATAATTTGAATTTCATCGAATTTCATTTCATGATAATTTCAAGAAAATATAATTCGAGTCAAAAAGGTGTCACGGGAAATGAAATAAATAAAATGAATGAAATAAAAACAAAACGAAGAGGTGAAAGGGATTTAACGAATAAAACTGAAAAAGAAATTAAAATGAAATAAAATAAATAAAATAAAATAAAATAATGAGGTAAAATGAAATGAAGGAAATAAGTGGAGGGGTGAAATAAGAGGAGAAAGCAAAAGGGAAGAGAAAAATTAGAAAGAAAATAAATAAAATAAAAAGTAAAATAATTAAATGATATAATTGAATTAAATTAATCAAATGAAATAATTTAATTAAATTAATTAAATGATTAAAATTAAATAAATGAAAGAATTGAATTAAATTAATTAATGAAATAATTGAATACGAGGACAAAAGAAAATGAAATAAAAAATAAACAAAAGAATGAAAAGAAAGAAGAACACAGAAGAACAAAAAATTCAAAATGTAACAAAAGACAAAAGTTAGGCAAATTAAATCGAGTGTAACTAATTAAATTAAAGTAGATTGAATCAAATTAAATTAATTAAATTAAATTAAATTAATTAAATTAAATTAAGTAAATAAAATAAACTTAAAATTAAACTAAAATTAAGCTAAAATTAAAATTGAAATAAAATAAGATAAAATAAAAGTAAGAAATATTATTTCGGGAATTCTGCAAACAAATGGCACAAAGTTCCTTACAAGAAATGACGGAAGAAAACAAAAGAAGAAAAATAAAAAAGAAATAGAGAAAAAAGAAAAATAAAAAAGAAAAAGAAAATAAAACACATCAACGAGAGCAAAAAGCGGAAACGATAGTCAACAAATAACTGCAAAAAATGTCGCTAAACCATAAACCCTAAACCCTAAACCCTAAACCCTCACAAGCTACGCGCTGGTTGAGCGCAACAACAGTCACTCCAGCGATGCCAATATTCTTCTGCGCTCCAGCTGCAAAGACACCCCACAAACACACATTCATGAGCTGCTGCTGCTGCTGCTCTTGCTGCTGCTGCTGCTGCTGGTCTTGCTGCTGCTGCTGCTGCTGCTCTCCGCCCTGCAGCAGCAGCTCTTGAGTGCAGCCAGTGCGCTGCTGGAACCGAGTGAAGCCAAAAGCAGCAGCAACAACTGCAGCAGCAGCAGCAGCACCAACAACAACTGCAGCAGCAGCAACAACAACGACTGCAGCAGCAGCAGCAACAACTGCAGCAGCAGCAGCAGCAACAGCAACTGCAACTGCAGCAGCAGCAGCAACAACTGCAGCAGCAGCAGCAGCAGCAGCAGCTTGCCGTAGGCGAGGTCAATATGCTGCCAGTCAATTTGCCTAGTGCCTATGTTGGAAGCAAGATCAGCAACAAGCAGCAAATCCGGCAGCAGCTTTTTGACGGGAGGAGCAGCAGGAAACTCCAGCCCGTGAATTGTCTCGTTTTCGCAGTAGTGCAGGTACGCCACCTGCAGCAAACCACAAATTAGGGTTTAGGGTTTAGGGTTTAGGGTTTGGGGTGTAGGAGGCGGGGCAGCCGCACGCAGCAGGGGCTACGCAGCAGCAGCGAAAGCCGGAAGAGGGAAAGCGAAAGAGCTCTTTTAGGAGGGTTTTGAAAGAGATATACGCTAGGGTTTAGGGTTTAGAGTTTAGGGTTTAGGGTTTAGGGATTAGGGTTTAGG